AACAAAGGCTGCAGAAATTAATTTAAATTAATTTACCAAAAAAAATGCATTTATGAATAACAAATTATAAAAATCTATATTACTGCTTTCCCCCCCCCCCCTCTTTCAGGTACGCCACCGCATACTTTATTTTCCCACGCTGATCAAATGTATTACTATTATAACGCCCCCACGTTCTTTAACTTTAAAACCGCATATTAATTAAATTAATATTGAAATTGGGGAATACTTCCAGAAACCAAAAAAATATTACGAACTTGCGTTATTTTTAAGAATCTCATGCAACACATTGACATACCGCAGGAAGGTTATTTTAAGCGCTGTTGAACACACCATTACGTCATAATTTCTTTCATAAATATAAATGTATATTGATTGTCTTGCCGAAGACTCGTGCTTCGTCAAGATGTTTGAGAACTTTTCATAATTATCGGTTTGGAATTCGGATCACACTGGGGGATGCTAATGCAGTATCAATCGTCTCCACGGCAGCACCTAAAGGGTATAGGGTCGTAAGTACGATGAGTTTCGCTAATCCTCATCAGTTTAGTGTATATCCTGTGAATAATAATGGCTTGCTTTTCAAACTCATGTCCCAAAATAATTAGCGAAGCCCTCTCGCTTGTTATTGGGGCGTTACATTAAATCGTTTAATGTCCAACTCAGTTTATCAATAAAAAAAACATACGCAATCAAAGTAAATTAAGTGGTGAGAAATTAGTCTCCTCGATATATTTGAAGCATGAAATTAGTGTAGTTACCAATAACCTGCATTAAATTGTCACAATGTGATTCTTCCAACCGACACAAGAAACGCATTGATATTTACCTCATTCAAAGTACAATTTAAAATATTTGTATAAATATAAGCTCTGGGTAATTCAATTTAATCTTATTGTTTATGATGTAAAAATATAAAATTCCTATAAGTAAAAATATAGTGTCACTATATATTGAACATCATCAACAAAGTAATTAGAAACAAAAAACCTGCTGCTAAAATTCCGATTTGTTTCCCTTTCATTGTGACTACAATGTGAACAGATGTTTCCGTATTTCAGTCTGCTTTAGTGTTCTGAAACACACACACTTATAGCACTACAACATTTCATTTCAACTCATATCCCTAAAAGTTTTACATTGAAAAAAAAAGACTTCATGACTAAATAGAATGTTGTTCACCGAAACGCGTTGATATCACTTTAGTGTCTGCCTCTACCAGTGGTTAGCTGGGGGGGGGGGCAGGTGTGACATATGTCCCCGGGCGCCACGTTAGGGGGTGCCAAAATGAGTATTAAAACTAAGTATTTAATTTTATTTTGATGTAAACTAATGTATCCCAAATACGTTTGCAAGATTGAATTTTGGAGCTCCACGAATATCTTCATTACAAACCAGTTGGCAAGCATGATTTGTGCGCCCCCATTGAGCATTAAGGGGCGCCATTCTACTCATAAACAAATGACACGTCCACAATGTAGGATTGCTGATGGCGTTTTTAAAAAAAACAAAGATCAGTTCGGGTTCAAATATTATTCTTCATATACTGAAAGTGGCATCTTCAGAATCAGATGACGGCAGTTATCAACCGCCTGAAACGCCAGTCTTAGAACACGACAGTGAGAAGGTTGAACAATACCGCCAGGATTACAACATACAAGAAGATATGATTCTGACAGATGCTACTGTTTATGCTGAGGAAAACACCAGAGACGTTGTTCTTGAACAGGCTCAACAAGACTATGAACTTTCTGACAGTGACGAGAACAATGAGATTGAAGATATTTCTTTTGATGAAGAAGCTAAAGATGGTGTTGTTCTTGTTCCTGCTGACCTAAGATTTCATGATGTTGGCTACTTAGAATTTGATCAAACGACAAAGCTATAGATAATACCACAGCCTCTTCGTGATGAATTGATAACTCTCGGATCTATACCCTTTCAGCATAGAGGCAGTCTATCTTCAGTAGCAGGTGAACTTTCGATTACTGCGTCATGGTTCAAACGCCGACTAGCAAATGGAGAGGAAATAAATCGCTCGTGGCCATTAAAGTCACCAATTAATAAAGCTGCTTACTGTTTCTGCTTTCTACTGTTTACATCATCAAGTTCAAACTCACGATCTTCATTTGAGTTAACCAATGGTTTCAACAAATGGAGAAAGCCAGAAAAACTACAGTCTCATGAAAACAGTCTCGGCCACCGCAGAGCTCTTTCTACATGGAAGAAAGCCGAAGAGGATAATTGATAAAACTGGAATTGATGTCCAGGTCCAAGCTCAAATTCAATTGGAAAAACAACGTTGGCGCGATAATTTGAAAAGAATACTTACCTGTATTAAGTTTCTAGTTTCACAAAATTTGGCACTGCGTGGCCATGGGGAACATCTGCATAAGGACGAGGATAAAAATGTCGGAAACTTTCTCTCCGAAGTCAAACTCGTTGCTCATTATGATCCACTGTTAGAAAAACACCTACAACATGCCCGAGAAAATCCAGGTTCAGTATCTTATTTATCACCGGAAATCCAAAATGAATTTATCCACCTACTTGCATCGAGTGTAGGAATCAGCTATTGAGTGAAATAAAAATAAAAAAAACAAGTACTGCGGTATCTTACTTGACTCAACACCCGATCTAGGTCACAGGGAACAGCTTTCTCAAGTCATCAGATTTATGGATGTAGATTTTCAAACTAAAAAAGTAACCATCAAAGAATCATTTTTAGGTTTTGTCCAGATACATTCCAAAGACGCGGCAAGCCTTGAAAGAGTTATCGTAGAGACACTTGAAACTGATAACATACCTCAAGCCGACTGTTGGTCACAATGTTATGACAATGCTGCTGTAATGACCGGGCATATATCTGGCCTTCAACAGCGAATATGTGCCAGAAATCACAGAGCATTGTTCGTCAACTGTGACAACCACAGCTTAAACTTAG